TTTTAAAGCAGTTAAATATTAATATTCTACGCTAATGGATGTGAATTAAGGTTGCATATCATTTAAGGACCCACTTTTGAGAAAAATTGACAATTTTTTTCAAAAATCATACTGGAGTTTTTTACAAGCTGATTAATGTTTAAATAGTCAAGGTATTTCTATACGAATTTTTTTTAGAATGTTTCAATTTTTTCAAGTGATGGTCTTTTTCAGGATGAACCAAAATTTGAAAGTGTTTCGCCGACACCATCTATATCACCATTGCCTGCGCTAAATGACCAATTAAAAGATCAGGAGAACGAAAATCTCTTTAACTCTCGTGGCTCTTCCCCTTATCGTAAGAAGGAAGAGGATTTGAAGCGAAAGATTAAAAAAGCAAGAGTTGGAGAAAGTGATAAGAGGAACGGAGAGCTTCCAGATCGCAAGAAGCAGAAAGTTTTGAAAGAGACTAAATCCATAGATGGTAGAAGAGAAGGCCCTTCAGAGGCAACAAAAGAAGAGAAGGAAAAGATCAGAATTAAAGATGAAGGAAGGCGGGACGAAAAACGAAAGGAAAAAGCAAAGGATTTTTCTAGAAGTAGGGAGGAGTCGCGGGTGAAAGAAGGGAAGGAGCAGGAAAAGTCGCGAGAAATGATTCGGCCTAAAGAAGATAAGGAAAAGGAAAAACTCAGAGATGAATCTAGGGTACCCGAAGAAAAAGAACGTGAGAAACAGCGTGAAGAGAGTCGCGTACGTGAAGAAAAAGAACGTGAAAGGTTGAAAGAAGAAAGGTCTCGTGAAGAGAAAGAGAGGGACCGGTTGAGACGGGAAAATGAAGAGGAGGAGCGGCTTCGAATTGAGAAGGAAAAGCAGAGAGAAACAAAGTTCCAAGAGAAGGAGAAGTTACGACTAGAGAAAGAAAATAAGACACGGCGTGAAAAAGATAACGAAAGAAATGATGAAAAAGTTGTAAATGAAGGGAAACGGAGGGACAGAATGAAACAAGAAAGGAAAGAAGGCCGTGAGAAAGTTAAATCTGGCAGCACTCTCAGTGTTAAATCAAAAGAATTATCAGGATCATTATCAGATCTCCCTCAACGGCCAAAGTCGGAAAGCAAGGACCGAGCGACCAGCAATTTGAAAAGCTTCAGAAAGGTTTTTTACTCTATAACTTTGCTGGAATGTGCTTGTTTTTTATCATTTTCATTGCGTGGTTTTTGTTTTTAAAAGGCGAACGGTTTAGCAACAGTAACTGTGGTCGTATGTTTATTAAGGATCGTGAGGCTTTTGTCTGTTGTGCGGATAAGGTGGAAAAGAAGAAACAAGAGCTTGAACGCGACAAAGATCGGTCATTACTACCTGCTAGTCATTATGAGGGACTGTCAAGACCTAAGAAACATAAAGCAGATGAGGTAAGAGGAGTTGCTTTTTATGTTCTTTTTTTTCCGTCAAAAGCTGATTCGTTAATTGTATTAAGTTTTCTTGTCTTTTTACCCGAGATTTATTTCAGGAAAAGGATAGGGTGTTAAAAGTGTTGTACTATTTCGATTCTATCGTTTATTTTATACTAACAGCTGCTGTCCACTCTCGAAATCGCTGTTCAAATAATCAGATGCGTCAATTTGCTCTTATACGTGATATTGCCGAACTTTTAAAGTATGCAATTTTTAATTTTAAAATTCTACAAAATGACGGAATTTTGCTTTCTTTCTCACCTCTTGTTTTTTCCTATCTTTGAAAGATTTTTTTAATTTTTAGAACTTCTACAAACCGGTTTGTGCAGAACACTTCTGAGTATACTCCTTTGATGGCCCACTATATAGCTCGTATAAAAATATTGTCATTTCGAGCTCAAGCAGTGCTCAACTTTCAGCTGTATACTCTCAAGATACGAGTATGATTCTTTTCATTTCTGTATTACGTTTTCGGGTTCTCCTTTTCATTCAAGTGAGCGTAACTGTAATTACAGGAAATCTACAAGTGCTGTAGCACTTTGGCTAAATTTGAAGCCAAATTTCGAGAGCTAGAAGCTGTTCCACGACGTTCGGAGCCGACACCCCCTAATAATGGATCTCAGAGTTTGCAGTCTGCTACTGGACAGAGTGCTCAGTCACTTGGATCCCAAAGTGTTCATTCAGCTGCAACCCCCTCTCCAGCATCTTCTTCCCATAGTGCTGGCAGCGAGAAAGTGAAAGAGGTTTTGCTGGAAAATTTTACTTTAAATATTGATAAAATTGACCGGTAGTTATCTCATCATTTTCAGGTAACTTTGCCGCATGATGTTTATAAAACTTTAAGGGCTCAAGTAAATAATTTAAACCATTTACTCTGGGCTCACCAAACTTGGGCTGACGCAAATGCTATTAGCGGCCAGCGGGAAAAAGGTTCTTTTTTTTGTTTTTACAGTTTCTATGCTTATTTTATCTGATCTTCTCTTTTGATTTTTTTTATTTTTTAGTTGGATGAGAACGAGTTGTTAGGCGAAAAATCGTTGAATTTTAAGAATTGAGGTAATAAAGAAGTTATAAGACATCGTTTTCTAGATTTGGTGGAAGGTTTGGATGAAGTATGCGGAAATTTAACAATCGAATCAAGTCTAGAGTCTTTAAGCCTGCATCTAGCTACTGGAGTCTCATGGTTAATTGCTGAATATGAGTTAGAAACAAATTTCAGCAGGGTTTAAGGTTATATCTGCATTTTCTCTTTTGTACCTTTTTGTTTTTATCCTGTTCTTTCTCATCTGATTTTTTACCAAAAAATTGTATCATTTTTACTGTACATTTCTGGATGACTCCTTAATTTATTTCAGAGTTGTATAGACAGATCTTTATTTTAATTTCTATCTGCTATATATTCTTTATTGCCAATTTTTTTGTTTGAAGATTTCTTTTAATAGGGATTTTAATTTTTTGGACTGTAGGTTACCTGGGTAATTTATTTTCATTTTCCAATCAGGCATTCATTTTCCTTAGCTTATTTTATTTTTTGAGAGCCCACTGGTCATGATTTATTTTACAGTTGAATTAGGGTGTATTAGAGACTATTTTCGTTGTAATTGGTCATGAAGGCGAGGCCGGAAATTTCAGTAATTTTTTTTCGATTTGCTGAATAATCGCGATATTGTTGCAGGTTTTCTTGTACAGAATTTTGTCTAATACTGTGTAGTACTTCCTTCTGGTACCCTACCTAGAATAGTTCATTACGTTAAGGTTGTTAGCTTAACTTTAGGTTCCCAAGTGGATATCCCGGGAAAGTGAAACTACTTTTACTCAATTTTAGTTTTATTTTTTTCCTCCTAGACCTTCTTAAATCCAGAGATCAACTTATTTCCATATTTTTCTTCCTCTAGACTCACTCCATCGTGCCGTGCATTTGTGATGCCCATTGCTTCAAAGAGGCTAATTTGTCTAACTTCAAAGTATAATTAATTACAAAGAGATGCTCTTTCAGTGAAATCAAATCATTTTAGTGCCTTCGTTACTTCTGTTGTGTTTCTTCATTTCCTCCATATTTATTTAGTCCATTTAATCTACCATTGACTGAGCGATCTTTATTTAAAAAATGAACATTACAGTCCTTGATTTTGCCATTTGTTTTATGACTTCCTCCTTTGATGGTTTGCCCTAACGGTGCAGCTGCACACTGAGACCCGTAAGGTTTAGCTTAGCAGTTGGAATGCATATCCATCTTTTTTTTTTTTTTTTTTTTTTTTTTTTT